GGTCTCGTGCTCGTTTGCAGAATAAAGCGGTGCAGGAATTATTACGAAATTCTGGGAGTTGAGAGAGATGCCAGCGAGGAGGACCTGAAGAAAGCCTACCGGAAACTGGCCCTGAAGTTCCACCCTGACAAGAACCGAGCTCCCGGAGCAACGGAGGCTTTTAAAGGTAGGCGAGGCGTAGTCCGGCTGTGAAGCGACGAAGGGAGATTGCAATAAGCCAGGACTGCTTCAGGCTCGCAGTTTTGCACCGTGCGCGAAAGCTTCGGACGAGCTCGCCTAACTCGGCCGCTTTTTAGACAGGCACGCGTTGCGCTCATGACCTCTTGCAGCTACTCAGCAGGCTTTGCCTTTTGGAGGCAGGTTTGCAAGATGCAGACTTCCATTAGAAGCCAAGGGGGAGGCATCCCCGACCCGTTCCTAGCTCCCACTGCTGCTTCAGAATAACGCTTGCAAACAGCCTTGGCCATGTAGGAGAGCGCGTTGTTGTGCAGCCAGTAACAGCTCTGGGCCATAATTAAAACACAAAAAAAATGCAAACCTGTGAAAATGTAGTCTAATATTCTGGATTTTCCAGTAACGTTGCAGTCTAAATCTGTATCAACAGTGTTAGCATGTAAATTGTAACTACATCTTTTGCTTTCTCCTTGCTGTGTTGCAGCACACGCTGTAAGGCAGATCTAGGAAAGCAAGGTTTGCAGTCATTGTATCTTAGAATAAGGAGTTTGTGAAGTGTTTTTCTTTATTCTTCTGTTAGGGTTGTATTTCTGTATAATCTTGCTTAGAGCTCTGCTCTTTCAAAGACCAAGGAAGAAGACAAACAAACTATTTTGGCGTGGTTTGAGGTTCACAGTGTAAAATAAATATGCTGGTACAGCTTTGAAATCTCTGCTGACAGAAAAACTTGCAATATGGTTCTGCGTCTTAATCAACCTTTGCAGCTATTAACTTTGTATTAGGCGATGCGCTTCTCCTTCGATGTCTGTTTTTAGTTTGATGGGATAAAAAGTCAAGTTCTCGCTCAGTCTCTTGACAGATTTCTGAAACGGACTCGCTTGCCTCAATTTTCTAAGTAGTTGAACTCTCTCCATATACTTGAACATTTTGTCTTCCTTCTGCTGTCAGTAATAGTAGGAAATAGGTTCCATCACAGCTAATGTCAGTATTGTAACGTGTCTTTTGCAAAGGCAGTTTTCAAAAATAAATTGTTAATTTTTGCTACTCTGCTTGTAAAAGTCACTAGGTCTGGAAATATTGCATTGTATGCGTGCATAACATTTCTCTTATTCATCCTGCAGCAATAGGCAATGCTTTTGCAGTTTTGAGCAACCCTGAAAAACGACTGCGGTATGATGAATTTGGAAGCGACCAAGAGAATGTCAACGCTGGCCAGGCCAGGCACTATAATTATTACACAGAATTTGAAGCAGATATCACACCAGAAGAAATATTCAATGTTTTTTTTGGTGGGCACTTTCCTACAGGTTAGTATCTGTCTGCGGTGTTCTTGAAATGTAAGGAACTGATACTAAACCACAAATTAAGTTTAGTTTTTCTTGATACTGCTCAGGGAGCTAATTATACCTTTGTAAAGAGCGAAAACCTGTTTGGATTTACGCTTTTCTCCCTCCCTAGCTTTTATGCCTGGAGGATCTCCTTTAATGCAGTTTATTAACTTTGTTTTAGTAAGATTTTGATAACTCCAGCTCCTTGAAAAAGCTCAAAAAACAGCCTTGCTGTCCAAGAATGCTACTACAGGAGAAAGGTATCTGTGGGGTAATGGCTGCTGCTGCTGGGGCGAGTTCCTAACCTCCCAGCCTCTCTTGAGAATTTTTGACAGACCTGGTTAGAGGTAAGAACATTTTAATTCAGCAAGGGTTTAGGCAGTGTGATTCTTGAGTGGGCCACATTTTAACACCAGCTGTAGCTGACATTTTTTTTTCTTCTGCTGTCTGTTTTCTGAAGCCAGAAGTGGTTTGAGGAGTTTAAAAAAAAAAAAAAGTGAATGGGAAGAGACCAGAGGTATCTGTGCTCGTGGTGTTGTACTTGAGCCACCTTACTGTGTTCCAGCACTGAACGGCAGCAGTTCTTGGCATTGCGGTCTCAGTGCCCCTATAACCAGAAATGCCTATGAGTTTATTTGGCTTGCACCAACTTGTGTACCGTAAAGAAATTAAAACTTTTAAACTTAGCCTTTATTGACAGGCATCACTTTTATCTATTACTGATTATGCAGAACAGTAGAGTCTATCTGTAGCAGCCCTATGCATGTCTCAGTTCAGCCTTGGCTTTTGGGTTTGTAATAAAAATAACAAGATGTTGCATGATTAATGGAATGCTGGTTTGGATTAAAAGTACCTCTGAAAGGTATGGTGAGCCCTAAGCATCTTCCTTGTCAGTATTTTTGTTCGGCAATCTTTGATGACAGATTGCTTTAGTACTCTTGAATACTGTTTCACGCCTCCAAGGTGTAGTATAAACCAACACGCACGCCAATTACTAAAACCTTAAGCAAGAGATAAGCACTTCATGACCTCAGTCTGTGTGATAGCATCCTGCAGCTAAGAGGATCTGAAATCGATCTAAAAGTGTTACCAGTAAATGTGCAAAGTGGGCCGAAACCAGCCTAACATCGTTCCCTCTGACTTTGCAAGAAGTTGCACCTGCGTATGAGGCACAGCTACTGATGAGATGTGGCCTCTGGTGGAATGTGCTGCTGCTGCCGGCTGTGGGGACGCTTGGAGTTGAGGACAGGAAATTGCAGGAGGAATTTGGGTAGTAGGGATGGCAGGACTAGCAGGTAGAATGCCATAAAGAAATAAACGGAAATTTTTATCGCTGTGGCAAAGAACAAACGAGAATTTCATAGTAGTAGCTATTAATAGTGAACAATAGTTTCCCTCTCCAAAAATGTTTGGTCTGAATTTATACTCATTTTCTTAACCTCAAAGTGACTTTTTAATTATTGAAAATCAGTTCAGTAGTTTTCTGAGTAAGCAAAGTCCGCGGTTTCTACTTAGCAAGAGAATTACTAGTAAGAGAGTGCACAGATGGTTAATATAAAGAGAATGTTTTTTAAACTGTCATAATGGTAAGTAGGACTTGTGTGTGTACACTGAAGTTTGTGTTAAGCTGCAGTGTTGTGCTGTTGTCCATTTCATGACACCTTCCTATCACCTTCCTTCCGGCTTTCTGGAACTCTCAATGGAAAACGTTGGTGTTGGGTTAGACTCATTTAAATAGCTTATGGGCATGTTTGTGGCTTGTTGTTGATATATTTTTATCCTACATTTTTCTGTGGGAATTCAGTGAAAAAAAGCATTAAAACTTGTATCTGTAAACGTCGGCTAAGTCTAAAAGGAGACGCTCCGCATGGCATGCTGTTGCAGTTCTAATTGGTAGAGGCTACAAGTTGGCCTCCTTTCTCATAAAAGAGTGTGCATGGAAGGAAAGAAACTGCTGGCAGAAATTCTTTGCGAAGCTTAGTACTTGGGAAACTCTTTTCTAGGCACTCTTGCAAAAGCCATTCCTACCCTCCCACACTCACTCCTGTTTTGTCACAGCTTTATAGAATATAGTCTGAGCAGAATTGGATGATAGAAAGAAACTTCCTTTTACTTTAGCTGTAATTTGTTAGAGTGCTAATACAGTTGGAGCTCTGATTGCTAACATGCTTAGATCCTTGGTATTGTCATTAAACAAGCAAAGAGACGTATTTTTACACTTTTTCCCCCAAGTTTCTTGATATAATGGTAATTTGACAATGCTGGCAAAATTATTTGAGAAAGTCAGATAAAGGATGCTGTAAGAGCGTAAAATACTGTGTCATTTTCCCCAAGGCTTAAAAATAGACTTGCATTTCTGCAGCCATAAGGCTGTACATTTCAATTCTCTACTACAAAGAAGTTCTGAATTTCAAAAGAGGAGGGCATAGCTATTATTAAGATATTCATATGATGATATAGTCAGAGTTTAAGCTTCAAATGAAAATAGCATTTGCAGTTCTTCCCTCATTTTAGAATTTTTAAAAATCAGCTACATCCAGTATGCAAGAAAGGAAATCCTGAATTGTACTTCTTCCTTTGGGGGGGAAAAAAAGAAAAAAACACTTTCCTCTTTATAAAATCATTAAGTGAATGACTGCATGAAGAGCTTGAAGGAAGAAGAAGTAGAAATGAGTATAGAAGAGCATATTTAGTAGTTATGGGAAGCCATAATTCATGGACTGCGTTTGGTGAGGCAGAATAATTTTCCTGCTTAAAGCCTGGGATGCAACGCAAACTATAGTCTTGCAGATGGATATGATTAAACTAATACTAAAGCGTGACCTACAATAATAAAAATGTTAGCAGATTTCTGACGTTCAGTGTAAATTCAGATGGACGCGGAGCAAATCTTAGAGTTTCCCCGGAACGTTATTTTTGGCATGTCATGTTATTTTGGTATTTAAATCTGAGGTGTGTTTATTCTTTTCAATTTGAGGTCTCATACCTAAATCAATCTGTGTAGTGTAAGTGTGGATAATCAACCAGAAACTGAGAAATATAGGTGAGTACCAGTAATTGGATGGAAATCATGACTCTGTCTTGGTTTCTTTTAACAGGAAATATCCACATGTTCTCAAATGTAGCTAGAGATGCTCACTATTATCCACGGCGGCACCGAAATGAGAGAGCATGGACACAGGAGCAAGAGGAGGAAGAAAACAGGCCACAGGTAGCCAGGAGAAGGGATCTGTGGGCTTGAATATGTCACCAGAGTGAGAGGTTTTACATCTGAAGTCAGTACAGATGTTTCCATCCGTGTCAGCAATGCTGTAACCATGGTGAATGATTTCAAAAATAACCGTGTTACCTGTCTCTTATTAATCACTACCTTTAAAATACATTATACTGGTAGGGTCACAGGCCCTAGCGTTTCTCCCATCAAGTTTTTTGCTGGTTGGTAATGCAACAGCTATTAGTCCAAATGTGGACTGATATTAAATATGGAAGTACTGGCTTGTCCTTGTGGTGTATTCAGTCCTTCAGTAAACTGGCACACAGTTTCTGCCCAGGCGCTGCGCAGGCTTTTTCCAGCCGAAGACAGACAGGGCAGGATGGGCCTGGGATGTAGTTCTACCCGCTGAAACCCCTAGAGGAGACACAATGTGTCATTTATTGCTAGCACACCCGCGTACACACACGCCACCTACCTTTGGAAAAATACTCTTCTGGAGGCAGTTCGTCTAACCTAACAAGATCTTTCTCCAGGGGAGATAATTTCTTGCTCGTGAGTTTTTAAACGCAAGCTCTGAAAAGAGCTGAGAAGAGATGATGGGCTTAAGACCGTAAGCTTTCAGACAGCTGAACAATGGCAAATGGACCCCACCTACTGCAAATCAGGTGTCCTTGTTGCTATCCAAGGACGTAAAGGAAAACCTAAATAGCTATGTATTTTATTTTACTCCTGATTAGAAAAGGAATTTTAGTAAGGCAGTTAATAAAAGAAGAGCAGAAGGGTCTGTTTTTGTTCCATGACTAGCAGAACTCTTTGGTCCTTAGAGCCTTTTTTCACTCTTTTGCTCTGCTAAATTCCTGCAAACGACAAAAACGAAGTGCCTACCTCCTGTCCCCGGTTTCTTAACCCTTTACATTTAAGCAGTTTTATCCGGTGATTGTACAGAGATTAGGATTTTAAAAATATATGTAGTGACCTTTGGAAACTGCAAAGAAAGCTATAGGCCCAGATGAGGATTGCACAGTGTTCCTTCAGTTTGGATTGTCAGCCAGTCACGTGACAGGCCCAGTGCCCTGGGCATCTACCGCCTTGTGAAGGAAGCTGCAGGTTAAAGAATTGTTGTGAAAATGCAATTAGAAGAAAATGGCTTTAAAGAGTTTTCTAAGATTATTAGTAAAGGTTATTTTAAAATTCAAATACCATCCCTCTCAAAATTCAAAAGTACTTCCTCATTTTTCTTCTTTTCGGTTTTATATTTAATACATTGTTGATCTGCCTATCATAGCCTGGCTTCTGTGAACAAATGTATCTTTTTTCCACCTGTATCTTTTCTTGTCCGCTAATTATTGTTGTCCTTTTCAGAACTCATATTCTGCATTTATTCAGTTGATGCCAGTTTTCATAATAATAATAGTGTCTGTTATAACTCAGCTGATGGCAACTAACCCACCCTACAGTCTATTTTACAAATCGTAAGTCGTTTAAAAACTAATCTTTTCTGGTCTTTGGTGTTTATGTTAAGGAGGTAGATGGAAGTTGGACTTGATACAAAAATGCATGTTACTTTCTAGGAAGAGTAGGACTGAACAATTTGTTACCAATTTGTAAATAAGGAAATACTCACAGTCCCTTTTATATTGACAAGTTGTCCTAAGCATTATCATTATGAAATTACTATAGCGAGCTTTATTGTGCTCTGTGCTGAGCAAACAGAGGCATGGAGCCAGAGAGCCCTCCCAATGGGTGTAGCTCAGCTACAGTAGTTATCAGCCTCTTGTCTGCAGTCCCAAAGGATCCGTGGACAACTTCTGAGGTTCCCATGTACAGTAATTAAGAAATCGGGCCTGTTGTTTGCAGTATTAATTATGTGCACTGGGGCCTGAATTCCACTGGAAGAATTGCAGAGTTCCACTAATCGTTAGTCTTGAAATGCCCTGGTTTGACATCTGTAAAGGAGCAGGATCTCCAGGTTTGCCACGAGCACGTTAAATTGGTCAGCTCCGGAAGTAGAAGGAGTACCAGGACTGCTGTGATCTGAGTTTGTGGGACAGAGGGAAACCCACTTGCTCCTCTGTTCAGCATCCAATGTTGGGAGGAGGGAAGCATGCAGAAGCTTTTTGGGGGAGAGGGCTGACCGGTTTTGTCATCTTCCCTGGTTCTTACTGAGATAGGAATGGTAGTTGGCAGCTGTTGAATAACCGTAGGGTAGGGGCCTGCTCTAGTAGGCCACCGACAGCAGTAAGCGGAGTGCTCTAGAAACTCTCCTTGCTCCCTCTGAGGGGCAAAACTGTCTAGGTTTAGGCCCATATACTGTCCAGTGCCATACAGTTTAATTGGCCCAGTGCCCTTTATTGTTTTTACCACAAGATGTCAGTGTGTAGGCCTAGCATAATAACACGACATCTTTTTCAGCCAGTGTTTTGAGATCTGCCAGTCCCAAGCAAAATGTCTCACACTGCCCCTGAGTGTCTAATCCCTCCTGTCCTTCTGGACTACCTCCCTTTGTCCTGTTGATTTGAGACGGTCAGGCCTGAGCCTGGCGTACAGTAACAGATGCTGTTTCTCTAAATCATATCCTTGAAGAACCAGCCCCACTAACAAAATATTTTTATAAAACGAGTGTATGGAGCTCTGTGACACAGTGAGAGAGAAGGAAGAGAGACCATCAAATGGAAGATGAAGGGGCAAACCGAGTTCCATTGGATAGAGTGCAACCTTTGCTTTTTGGCTGCCTGCCTCTTTCTCTGGGCAGTGATTTGAAAAATGCCTGGATATCTTCACTCAAATAAGGAAATTCAGTAGAAAAGAGTAGTTTAATCCAGGGACTGAGTCAGAGTGGCTAGTTCTACATGCAGGATATACTTTGGGATATGCCATGTACCACTTTGCTTACTCGATGATTATCAAACCCTAGAAGAAAGTGCAGCTAGAATCTCCCCTGCAAATGGCTGTTGCTGTTAAAGGATCCAGAAATCAGGAAAAAAACAAGTCTAATTGCACTGTACCCTAAGCAATATTGGGCCATGTGCCTTTCCTATAATCTCTATATTTGTCATAATTTCCCATAGATTTCTGTACATAGCTTGTCAGAAATTACCAATAAACAAAGTGCGTGCAGCTTCTTTTTATAGATAAAATTTGCTCTTATGCTTTGGAAGTGCCTTGACTGAGCTGTTGCGAACAAACACAGTATTTAGAAAGAACAGTGTCAACTCTGAATCAGTTCTCTATAAGTGTCTCTAAGTATTAGATATTTTCACCATGTTGTTTTTGAGTGAATTCTGTTTGTAGTGAAAAGTTTGCTGTGCCTGAGGCTTGTAATGGCTTTTTTGGATGGCTGAGGGAGCTATAGTCTGCAGAAAGTTACTGTAGAGAAGTTGTAAATATCGTCTACTGGAAATACTAATATGAGGAAATCTCTCTTTTTTTTCTTTCTTTTTTTTTTTTTGAGCTGCCTAAAAATCCCTGTCTCTATGCTGTTTTCACAGGTCCATAGGCCATGTTATTAGTAGAGAAACAGAGAACTTGCAGGTGCCTTACTATGTTGATAAAAACTTTGAAAAGAATTATCAAGGAGTAGAGCTTCAAGAGCTAGAAAAAACTGTTGAAAAAGATTACATAGACTATATTCAGACCAGCTGCTGGAAGGAGAAACAGCAAAGTAAGTTATCTTTGTTACAGGCGTGTGCATCATGGCTATGCTTTGCAAAGCACTGCCATTTTTAGCCTTATTTTCCGAAACATGTAACTTTTTAAAGAAACCTTGCGCTCACATCTGGTCTTAACGCAGAATTTGTTATTCTTAAGAGTCTATCAGAGTTCATTTTAGGTGATTCTGAGAGAGAAGTGGAAAGTGGATTTCACCATTTGAGACATTTTTTCCACTGAGTTTTTATGCTTGAATAACTCTTAGTTGATGATGTTTTAAACATATAATTCACCACACTCTCTGACAGATTGTTAGGGCTGGAAAAGATCTTGAGGGATCACGTATTCCACCCTTTCTTCACTGAGGCAGAAGCATATGTGCCTTGGACCATCTCTGTGATAAATTTATCTAATTCTTCCTCAAAACTTCAGAGAAAGAGAGTCCATAGCCTATTCAGGTGTTTTTTGGAAATCTTGCAGTGGACTCTGTTACTGGTATCAGTTTTCAGAGAGGGTACTTTGTGGTTATTTAATGCACTTATTTGCATTTTCTATCTGTAGTTGCATTTGAGATCATGTGTTTCACCATAGTCAAGATTGTCTTTTAAAAACAAGAATTGAATGCAGAAAGAGAGAACACAAAAATCTGAGTATTCAAAAATCATTGCTGTCATGTCAATTGTAATGCCATCAGTTTCACATATAAAGGCTTTTTTTCAGCTGAAGTTCTCATCACCTTACAATGAGTAAACACAAAATGCTGTTGTGCATGAAGGAAACTGGAAGAAGTTGTTTTCTGTGTAAATATTATTATAATAGGAGGTAAGTTGCTTTCACACATGAGCAGGGCTTTTTAAATTGTAAAACACTCTGTGTAAAACACTCCTCAGCACACTATTAAAAACTGACTTTGCACTTCTTTGCAGTTTCTCTACCAGTCAGATCATTATAGTTTAAATGTGGTAACGTGCGTCTTGTCTGAACAAGATTGGCTTAATCCAGTGCGAGAGGTAACAACAGTGTTGCTGACTGCAAACTATTTGCAGATTTTTGATGAGAAGGGTGTTTTTGTTTTCGTCTAAAGACGGTTTATTTTACATAAAAGCTAGCAATCGTGCTTTTGAAGACCGATATACAAACGCAGACTGTGAAGTTATAAAAAGAAAAGAACCCAAAACATAAAACCAGAAAAATCCAAACAATCCCTTAATTTTTGGTGTGCTTGACTTGTGATCTCTGAGCATCTGCAGCTGACAGTAGCAGTCTCTAGATGCAATATGACTGTTAAAAAGCATAAATCTAGGCTTCATGTGTAGGCTGGCTACGTGGTTAGATTTTTTTCTTAAAGAAAAACCCCTGGTAATTGACCTAGTGCTGCTAAAAACTGCTATGTTGTCTCTTTCATGCAGACTTTGAGCTAAGGAGTGCCGTGCCCTAAAAAGGGCAGCAGGGTTTGCAAGTCTAAAGAGGCTGAGAGTCAGAAGGAAACAATCCAGCATTGAATGCAATGCCTGCAAGATAGTGCTCCTCTTCAGATGTTTATATTTAAAAACTTTCAGCCCGAGTTGCTTCATTTATCATGTGCATGCAAATGCAGTTACGGTACGTGCCAAAGAAGCCCTCACTGCGGGTGGCAGTGGATGAGAGCATCCTTGTCCGCACAAGTGCGAGGACAGGTAGGGAGGGACAGTGAACACAGGCGCTAGCAGCAGTGGCCACCCACTGCATGCACATCAGGGGCTGTAATACCCGGTAGTTCTGCATGTCTCACAAGACAGCAAAGGTTGCTTCTTTGGAGCTACATCCTCGGCTGACTCTCATGCCACTGACTGCTCTGGTAAATGTGCCCTCACACAGCTGAGTGCTTCATGCAGGCCACCAGATGCAGATTTCTATTTCTACATCCTGCATAGTCCACATATAATGACATGAAGCAACGCTGCTCTCAAAAACCCCTGTGTGTCTAGCAAATGAACCGATGATGATGCTGTCACTTCAGGTTCTAAGTTAACTAAGGGTCAGAAATCCACGCTCACAAAGTTAACTGTTGTATATATTAGTAACACATCTGCAAATACATTTGCAATGCCCACAGTTAGCGGTAGCCTGAGGATACCACTGCAACTGAAAAAACGTTTTCAGAATGATTACCATCTGGGCCAGCAAGCCAGTAATGAGTACAGCTGAGACCATGCTAACTTTAGTACAGCTACGTTTGTAAAAATAAACTTTGAATGCGAGATGGAGTGATGGTGAAAAAGTTCTCTGGAGACCTTGAGACCCTTCTTAATCAGCTGCTGTTTCATAACTTTGGTCCATTAATTCTTTTTTAAGTGCTTAGGTTCATGTGGTCAGCTTTTTTTTTTTTTTTTCCCTGTCAGTTGAATGCCTATTAACAGTATGTTTGTTTTATTACTGGAGTTGCATTTCTCTTCAGCACCAGCAAAACGTTGGGTTTACAACCACTGATTTGATGATTTTTAAAGTATTACCTGATGTCCAGCTATCTTACTGAGAACTTCAAAAGTAACTAGTACGTCAGTATTTTGTTCAGCCGATGACTTTTCTACAGCTACTGTAGTGCTACTGTAGACAGTGTTTTTCCCTTCACAGCAGAATACAGTGTAAAAGCTGCTTACACTATTGTTTTTCTGTGGTTTCCTGAGGTCTTTGACACAGTTCAACACAGAAGGCAAGTCCCAGATCTACAGATAAAAATGATTGTTCGGTTGTGGTAGCAAAATCGTGAAGTAAGACTGACTTCTGCAAAGAACTCTGAATCAGGAGGAGTTCCTTAAAGAGAAAAGGTTCAATCAAATAAGGATGAAGGAACAACTCTGTGTCAAAAATTGAAAAATATAAGAAACTAACATGACAGAAAGACTACTTGAGTGGTGTCTTAGTTATAAGGACAGGGAAACTGATTCCTGATTCTAAAATAAAATGTTCATGCTTGTCAGTTTTTAAAGCTTTTCAATAAATAGACAGAGGGTCAAATGCTTTTATATTTCAATGGAACAGAGGACAAATGGCTTGAAAGGATCTGTTGCGATGTCCTATTGTTTGTCCTATTGACATGTTCTTCCCACTCTGAATGATGAACTTGAAATGAGGGACTTGACGTTTAATTTTTCTAAGAGCTTTCATACACCTTTCATCAGATAGCTTGCGCTTGGGGAGATTTTGACCTTTTTAGAAATGAATTACTGCTGTTCTCATCGGCGCATCTAATCCCGTATCTGAATTATTCTTTAGGGAGAAAGCTGTATTAAGATATCCTTAGCTAATCAGCAAAAGAAACTTCTCTGAGTTACTGAGTTACATTCAAACAATGGGTTTCTTTCAGTTATATATGTTGCTTTTGAGAAGAAGGGGGAAAAAATGAGTGGAGTACACTTGAGACTACATTGTTAACGAAAGAGCAGACAGCCCTTTCAAACAAGCCCCTGACCTAGCTGCTCACCTTCCTCTAAAAACAACCAACCCTAATTTACAATGCCTGATGGGCAAAACTCTTGCCAGAGAGATCTTAATTTAAGAAGCACCCCCCCCCCTTCCGCCCCCAAAATCCGTACATACAACTTTGAGGAGTTTTTCTGTAGTATTTGGATGGGTATTCTGGGCCCTCGCAGAATGGATCTGCTGGAAGAATTGTATTTCTCAGTTACGTGGGCAGGGAGAGCTATGGGGTTTCTGCATGTCTTGGCTTATTACGCTCCCAACAGCTGTCAACCCCAAGGAGACAACAGGAAAAGTAGTCATGAGGCTCTACTTTCTTTCTGGCTTCTCACTTAAGTTCCACTGATACACACAGAGTAACCCCCTCTTGTCCATCAGTCTGTGTCTGTGCCTGGTGAGAGATTAACATCAAGTAAGGGTAAATGCACGATGAGATGTAATTCACATGTAAATATTGGTATCATCTAAGACAAGTGGTGTTGAGCAGGCCAAATAGTATCTGACTCACCCGCCTTTTACTCACAGTTACTTTAAATATATACATATATTTTAAAATAATTATTTTTAGATTATTAATACAGAACTTTATATCTTATGCGACTTCCGCTAGGATATATATTTATAGTTTGTTTTCTTTGTAGCCAATGATAGAGTAATCAGTTTCATTTTTATTTTCAGCGGTTGTTCCATTTTACTGGTAGCGTGTTTGTGTTATTTTAACTGAGTTATTTTAATTGTTTCAATTTGCAAGCAATTATGAATATACTGTTTTCTTAGGTGGCTAGCTTGGTTAAACCTCGTGGCCTCTCGTTAAGGAAGGTTTTTAACATGCCCCATGTCATTGAAATAAGGTGAATAAAAAAGCACGTCATAAGGATTATAAAGCTTTGAGAAACAGGTATTTAAAGTAGGCTCACAGTTTGTCCTAATATTTTTTTTTTCTTTTCATCTTTCAGAATCTGATTTGTCAAATTTGGCCAAGTTATACAGAGATGAACGATTAAAACAGAAAGCAGAATCACTGAAACTTGAGCACTGTGAGAAGCTCTCCAGTCTGATTGGAATGCACAAAGGGGGCTGACCAGGACATACACGTTCTGTGGTTTTATTTATTGCTGTTTTAACTTATGTTTTTATTTTCCTTTGTATAAGAAGGGAAGGAGTCTGTTGTAAAGAGTCTGAATACTTGATTCCTTCATATAGTGCAGAGATGGGCAAACAGGAGCTGCACAGCTAGTGTTTGCTTTAACATACTGTACGTTACGTTTGGTTCTAAGGACCAGTGGCACTTAGTGTAAATTAATTCCCTGGGAAATGCTATTCCGTTTGAAACCTGTCTTCATGGTAGTTTGTCTGCCATCCAAACAGTGTATACTTCCCAGGAGAGTAGCGATACTGTCCCATGCTTTCTGTATTTTATATGGACCCGCAGTTCACTCGATCATACAGTATAGTTCTCAGCATTAAAGTGTGCTAGCCTTTTCATAATGATCTCAAGTGGTTGTCCTTGCTTCTACAGTGGTTTGTAATGAGAATTTAGATTGAAAGAGGGTGTATTTCTTGTTCTAGTCTAATGCTTAATTGAGAAGTATCAGGTACCTGCTGCAGGTAAGCTTTGGAGCACGTTTCTAGCTCTCCTTAACGTCAAAGGCACTTGACCGTATGCTTGTCTGACTGAAGATCCACACGTGTCCGATTCCTTAATGAGGAAGCAAGCTGAGATTGCAACAGGAAAACTGAACAAGAAGAGGAGAGTCTGTGAATTGGACCGATTCCAATGTCTGCCAACTGTAGAGAAAGGACACCGTATTTATTTTCTCATGTGTTCTCAGTGGCATATTTTTAAGCTGGCTGTTCAGTTCTGATTTTATTTGCAAACTCTTCTCCAGCTGTTACAGAGTTTCTGCTTGCTGGTACAGTTTCGATGTAGCATATTTTTACTCTGAGCAGTTATGAATGTTTCACTGTAGAGATTAGTATTGCAAAGAAAAAGATCTGTGTAGTAGTTTCCTGTTTTTTCTGAATCCTCCTTTACAAAACCAGACGTTTCAGGAAGGTTGAGGATGGGTTATGCTCGTAAGCAGCAGAGAGCAGGGTATTACTCCAGTTGAGCATCGTTAAGCTCCTGAGCCAGTGTCTCTGATGCTGTGTCACTAGCGTGTACCACACCAGCAGCAGCATCTGGTTTACCTGGCTCAGATTAAACCCACCTGAACAAACCTGCTTGTGGAGATTCTTCAGTCGTGCTCTTGCCAGTGAGATCAGAAGAAAATGGGCATGGCCGGGATCCTGTGCAACAATTGAATTTTTGATTCCTTTTACTTGGGCATAACTTAGAGAAGTCCTAGTTCTGCCCGTTCCAGTAGGCAAGCCTGTACAGAGCACAGGAAGATCAGGGCTCTGCGCAGGGAAGCTTCAACCTGTTCTGTTTCTGAACGCGCACACACACACACACACGTAGCTGTACCCTAAACTTCACTCTCTATACTACTTCTTTTCAAAATAGTAGGAGGAAGGCACTTTTGTTTTTTACATTTTTGATGTACGAGATACCTGTAAAACTTGTGGAATGAAGTATTCTAAGGAATGACATCTCCAAGCAATAGAGGCACCGGTGGGACAGGCTTTTGCCCTCCCTCCCTCCCTCCCTAATCTGAGGATTTAGCATAGTAGTAGCAGAAGCAGTATTTACCTCTGTGACATGTAAGTACGTGAACTGAACACGTATCTGTTGCTGCCCCTCTTTCTAAAACTCCCTACAAATAGTGGAGGAAGCCACAAATTGCCTTTGCTTAAACCTAGGAAATAAAGTTTTCAAAGGTTTTTAAAAAAAAAAAAAAAAACGAGAGCCAGAATTAAAACTGCCTTTAAAACTTAGACTTCAGTCTCCATGTGCCTGGGCAAGGTGCAATCACATACTAGTACTCCCTGCATGTGCTGAGGACATCCTTTTGGCATAGTGTACAAGATAGCTGGTACTGAGAAAGAGCGGATTGGGACTGTAGGTACCAAAACCTGTCCCCTTGGTATACTTGTCACATTTATTACAGCGGTTGGAAGTTGTATAAAAACGAAGCTGGCATTTGCAGGAGGAGAAGCTTTTCCGGTGATCAAGAACAGTGGGTTGGTGCTTCTTTTGGGTTTTGAAGCTGTGGTGTGAATTCCTCTCTGCAGACAGATAGGTGCTTTAAACGCAAAAGTTTGGCAGAAACACCCATATACGCACGTCCCATATATGTTCAGACCATCACAACTACAGCAACATTGCTGCTATGAAACAGTAATGAGGTTTAAAAAAATAAAATTAGAAAAATATTTACACGGAGGCCCCTTAAAATAGCAAGTGCTTTGGTGTTAATATTTGCACCCCAGCTCCCCACTGGGAACTTTTGTAGGAGCACGTGGGTGAGTTTAGCACTGCTCGTCAACCACTCAAGACAGGAAGAGTGCCATTAAAAGAAGGCACTTAAGGGTTTGAATAGTGAGTTGTTGTGAATCATGTTTAGTAAGGCATAGATGTGAGAGTCTGTAAGGACCAAAATGTTCAATTTTGCTGTTCCAGATTGATAACGTGGCTGAAAGTAGGCTAGGCAGCTCTAATTCTGGTATTTACCGATTTTGAGTGCTTAATATGTGTCTGTATAAAAAGCAGCATTCTTTTAATGTTGCTTTTTATATATTAAATAGTCTGTAGAATATATTTCAGTTATATTAAAGTAGTTGGACTTCATTCCAGGTTTGTTATTTTTCCTTCCCTTCCCTGTCATTTCTGTTTGACTCCCATTACTATAAAGTGAAATGGGGGGGAGGACCAAGCATTATGACTTTATTGAACCTACGATGTACTGTATAGAACTTGAATACCTGTATTTTGCACTTACAATATATTGCACCTTTCATCCAAAGATCTCCATGTGCTTTAGAGAGGTGGGAGGCTACCTGTGAGAAGCACAATAATGTTAAGCGACTTCTTTGGGACTAGGAAAGAGGCCAGGATTAGGTGGAAAATGAGATCAAAAAGTAAGAATATTTCGAAAAGCAATAAGATGTTCTTTATGAGTAATCATGGTCAATGATGTTACAGATGAATCTTTCAGTGCTAGTTTTGTAGGCTGGGACGTTTGATTCTCTAAAATGTCTTTAGTGATGGACACTAATACTTTGTAAAGCACTGGCATCCTATTTATTAAGAAAAAAGAAGAGAAAAAAACCATACCCATGACTGTTAAAAATGCATTACTGTTATTAACCAAAAGTTACTTGCCAGAAGGATTCACTTCTAATTATTTCCTGGTCTCCAAAGGGAGAAAATACGTTCTCTGAGCTCGCAGTGTAGGTCTTACTCACTTCGATCCAGGCTTCCGCTGGTTCCTGCCATATCAGTGCTTTTTGTCCAAGAATATTCATTATTTTACGAGAGTGCTTGAATCTTTGTAGTGTGCTGTTATTTCTTTGGGAATATCAGTAGACTTGCAAGTAGGTTTATATATATATATTTTTTTGAAATGAAAGATTTGACACTTCTCTGCCTGTCTGTACTGTGGTAAAAAGACTGAACATGAAACAGAAATAATTGTGCAGCCTGGGAATTTTTTTTGTTTGTTTAATGTGAAATCAACGTGCAGCAGCTTCTGCAGAGATAGTGTAATGACGATTTAATTACGGCCCCAGCGGTGACGAGGAACCGAAGGCAGCGGCCTCCCGGGGAGGGCCGAGGCCTGGCGGCAGCGGCCATGCTGCGGCGGGGGGCACGCCGGGCCGCCCCCCACCCCGCCCGCCGAAAAGCAATAAGATGTTCTTTATGAGTAATCATGGTCAATGATGTTACAGATGAATCTTTCAGTGCTAGTTTTGTAGGCTGCGAATAGGGACGTTTGATTCTCTAAAATGTCTTTAGTGATGGACACTAATACTTTGTAAAGCACTGGCATCCTATTTATTAAGAAAAAAGAAGAGAAAAAAACCATACCCATGACTGTTAAAAATGCATTACTGTTATTAACCAAAAGTTACTTGCCAGAAGGATTCACTTCTAATTATTTCCTGGTCTCCAAAGGGAGAAAATACGTTCTCTGAGCTCGCAGTGTAGGTCTTACTCACTTCGATCCAGGCTTCCGCTGGTTCCTGCCATATCAGTGCTTTTTGTCCAAGAATATTCATTATTTTACGAGAGTGCTTGAATCTTTGTAGTGTGCTGTTATTTCTTTGGGAATATCAGTAGACTTGCAAGTAGGTTTATATATATATATTTTTTTGAAATGAAAGATTTGACACTTCTCTGCCTGTCTGTACTGTGGTAAAAAGACTGAACATGAAACAGAAATAATTGTGCAGCCTGGGAATTTTTTTTGTTTGTTTAATGTGAAATCAACGTGCAGCAGCTTCTGCAGAGATAGTGTAATGACGATTTAATTACGGCCCCAGCGGTGACGAGGAAC